CCCTCAACAAAACAAGGCTCCCAACACTAAATCTCTTCCTAGGTTTTCTGAAACATCCCAAAAATACGGTCCAAAATTTTCGTTTTAAAATCATTATTTAAACCATAAAACATCCATCATCATAATAAAACAAGAACCATGTATCTTAAAAACATCATGTCAAATACTGTATCAAATCATATAAGTAATCATCAGAGTCTAACAACAATCCCAAGCTGAAACTGTGGTGTGTGCCATGCGATCATCCTAAGCCCTTCCCCTTGCTAGTGGAAGTACCTGAAACCAAAACTGAAAAGTGTAAGCACGAAGCTTAGTGAGTTCCCCAAACTACCAGATACCATACAAATATCAAGCAACTAGGAGATACGGGCCCCGTATAATCTCATGGAGATTCGGGCCCCGCCCACACTCTACTGTCTAGGAGATTCGGGCCCCGCCCACACTCCGCTGTCTAAGAGATTCGGGCCCCACCCACACTCCGTTATCTAGGAGATTCGGGCCCCTCCCACACTCCGTTGTCTAGGAGATTCGGGCCCCGCCCACACTCTGCTGTCTAGGAGATTCGGGCCCACCCACACTCCGCTACTAACATGCATACCAGTATCACACAGACAACAAGTACATCTACCAATCAACCACATATCTATACTCAAATAATACTATAAGCATCAGACCCCGCCCACTCTAACTACTATGAGATTCGGGCCCCGCCCACACTCTGCTACTAACATAAAAGCACCAGGGCCCGCCCACTCTAAGTTACTACATATCACTTATACGGGCCGACCTTGGTGCCGTAGACCCGTTCCTACTGAAGGAAACTCACCTCGCAAGACTGACTGCTGAAAACTCGAGTGAGGTATCCCTTTCTGCTGCTCCGACTACTCTCCGGCTATCACTTCGATAATAACACTTAATCAGAATCTGCTAATCCTCTCTTAGGGTAAAATGGCCATTTTACCCCTGGTCAAAGTCAAAGTCAAAGTCAAGGTGAACTCCCAGTCAACCCAACTCGTCGAGTTATCTCCCAACTGGGCGAGTTCCTGGACGCTTAAACCCGTGGTCAACTGAGTTAACTCGTCGAGTCCCCTAACAGACTCGTCGAGTTCTTGCTGTCATAAAAATCGGGACAACACGATACGACTCGTCGAGTTCCCTTATGGACTCAACGAGTCCTTCTGTCTGTTTGGCCATCTTAACAGATTAAGCCCCTATTTTCTAGATCCAAGGTTCTTAGCTCGTTTGTCCACTGGAAAGGCCTTCCTAAGAGTAAAGTTTCCAACTTTACCCGTTCATAGCTCTTCTAAAAGGGTTTAGACAAAACCCTAATTCCTATAAGACATGAATCTTGTCCAGAAGGCCATAGAATCTCAAATCCACGCATACAAACCCAGGCCTAAGGTTTTAGCATCTATTGGGCACATAAAGCTCCGAACTTTCATTCCATGCATGGTCTTTTAGGGCTAAAAAGACCATAAACTTGCTTATATGCTTTCATGGGGCTTCCATGGCCATAAAGTTTGCACCTGGAGATACTACATCTAAGAGAAGAATGATCAAGTTGGAAGCTTGATTAATAGAAAATGTAGCAAAAGAAGTGTAGTTCGTGGATCTACTTCTTCCCTCTTGAGTCTTCAATCTTCTACTTCTTCTACAAGCTTCACAATGCACAAAAACACTCAAAAATGGCAAGAACTAGCTCAAGATCACTTATGGCGGATTAGGGTTTCGATAATAGGGTTTGGAGGTGATGGAGGCTGGGGTGGAGGCCAGATATGATGCTTAAATAGGGTGCAAACCCTGAAAATTAGGGTTTCCTCCTGATGGACCTACTCGCCGAGTCCAGGCTCGTACTCGTCGAGTAGACCATTTAAATCCCGCGGCCAAGCTGGCACCTACTCGACGAGTTAGGTCTACCAACTCGTCGAGTAGATCTTACAAAATGAATATTTTAATAAATTAAATACGTACCAGGAACGGGGCGTTACATTTTCCCTAGGGCAAATACCATACCACTCTCCGCCATCAGCTGCAGAAGGAACTCCTATGAGCACCCTCTAACTAGCTTACGAATACAATTACATATCACCAACACCAGATAATTCTTCGAATGAAAGGTCTCACACTACAACGGTTGGACTCAAACAAGAGATGCGCAATAGAGTTAAAACCTAACCTTCTAAAATTATTTAGTTTCTGAAATATGTAACTTAGGATATTCGCTTACTAGTTAGCTGATGTTAGTGAGAACTCCGAAAAATCACAAAGCAAGCAGCATTTGAGCATTGAGTAATCGGAATCAAGCATAACCTAATCAATGCATCTTATCACTGACTGATCAGTACTAGCATGTGATGCGAGTCTACAAGCTCATACAATAGGCATATAGAGGCGTCTCTCCTAGCATTCTATCATGCAAGTCCTAAGCAGATCCTTAGCCCTAACTAGCATGCGATTCACAGTTCATAAATCAAAGCATATCATAAATAATGTATGGGTATTTTGGGAAAACTTACTTGAGCTCGATCGATTACATGAACCACACCCTTTTCTTTTTAGAAAACCCTTTTTATAAAACATTTTTCCTTTTTGAAAAAAAATTCTACTAATTCCTCAGTTTGAGTTCAGACACACCCAAGAGTATGCCCGAATCCCTCAAACTAAGGCCCTGATACCAACTTGTAACGTCCCAAAAATTACAACCATTTTTTTAAATTAATAAAGTTGTAATCCAAACATCATCATAAAAATCAAGATAGAACAAAGTGTATCAAATACATCATGAAACATCAGAGTAATCATAAAATGCAGAACGAGGTGGTGTGTGCACTACAATCATCCCGGGTAGACCAGGCAAACGGGTCGTGTCGTGTCGGGTTCGTGCCGGGTTGGGACATTAAACGGGTTGAGGGTAGTTGACACGGACACGACAAGTTTAATAAACGGGTTGGAAAACCTGACACGGACACGACTCGGTTATAACTGTGTCAACCCGACACGATACGTGTAACCCGCTTAACCTAAAAAAATGTGAAACCCGCCAACCCGTGTAACCCGACACGACCCGTGAATTTGACATAAAATGGTAAACCAAATACAAAGTTAACATTGTCAATTTGTCATCAAATATCAAAAACAAAATAACAAAAAACTAAAGAAATTAAAAGTTCAAGTAATCATCCAAAATCCAAATGTCATAAAATACCAAAACAAAAGAAATTGAAAGTTCAAGACTTCAAGTAATCATCCAAATGACCAAAACATTAAACATATTACAATCCAACATTAAAAACAAGTTTAATACCAACAAAGACTAAAAGTTCAAAACAAATCAAGACTTTTTCAAGCTATTTTTTCTTCAGCCTTCTTCCTCAACATAATCCAGATTGTTGTGTTTGGGCACCAGATGTGTCACTTTCCTTTGCATCTTCATCAACATCAACCTTCAATGTTGTAACCTTTTTGCATATCGCTTTAATCTCAGGTTGCAATGATGCTACAAATAAAAAAATCGATATTAGCATACAAATGGAAAAAAGAAATAATAATGTTGTAGTTTCTATAAAAAACAGTAACAAAGCAGCTTTTTTTTAATGTGTAGTTTTTTAACAATAAAAATTGAAATTTTTAATGTGCAATTTTTTTTATCATTTTTTGCAGAAAAACAGAAAAACTGGAAAATAGGAAAAAAAATATATGAATTTTTTAGTTTCTTACATTCTTTGAAAGCCCAATCTCTAAGACAAACAAGTACTTCAGCGGTTTCTGCCTTTAATGAGCTCCGATAAGCATCAAGAACTCTTCCTCCTATACTAAAAACAGATTTGGAAGCAATGGTGGAGATTGGAATGGCCAAAATATCTCTAGCCATTTGAGAAACAATGGGAAACCGCCCTTGAAGGGGTTTCCAATACTCCAACACATTCAAATCACCAATTCGAGGTAGTTTTGGCTCTTCTAAATATGATTCCAATTCAGATTTACAATCGGTGGTAAACTCACAGCTAGAAAAATCATCAAAATCCTAATAGAAAGATTAAAGTTAGACAACAAAAATTAAAAAAAAACAATTAAAAGTTGAAACAAAAGAACTTTTTTTACCGTCATATACGTGTCAGACAAGTTTTCATCAACTTTAGAAGAGGGAGGTGAGCTTTCACTTGCCTTGGACTTGGTATTAATGGCTACATACTCATCAAACAAGGAAAATTACTTTTTTTTAAACAAATCCAACTCGAGATCGGAAGTTTCGCCATATACCTTTTTGAAAGCCCAATCAATAACTTGAAACTTGTAACGAGGATAAAAAATAACAGCAATACCCATGATAGTACCAAACTCGGACCAATATTTGTCAAATTTCAAGTTCATCCTAGTTGCCATGCTCTTTATAAAGTCATCGTTACTTACCACCTCCTCTTTCAAAAGCAATATTATCTTGAGAACATTAGGAAAATAAAGATTGGCTGTTGGATACTTGGAAGCCGAGAAGGCTAAAGTCACTTCATGAAAAACTTGCAAAAACTTACAAATGTTTTCAATCTTGGACCACTCTTGAGAACTAGGACAATGAACAAAATTAGCATCGGTCTTTGCCATTTGAAGAAGTGCTTTTTTGTAAAACAATGCATTATCTAGCATGAGAAATGTAGACTTCCAACGAGTAGAGACATCTTGTCTTAACCCTCTAGAGGACTCAAGACCAACATGTTGAACGGCACGTAAAAATGCATTTTTCCTGTTTTGAGAACCCTTGCAATACTTAACACATTCTCTCACTTTTTTGACAGCTTCATCTAATTCCTTTAAACCATCTTGTACTATCAAGTTTAGAATGTGAGCACAACAACGAACATGGAAATAATCACCATCACACAATAAATCCAAATCCAATTTCAAAGCATCAACCATAGAATCATTCGAAGATGCATTGTCTAAGGTTATAGATACTACTTTATTATGAACTCCTCATTCTTTTAACAACCCATAAACCTTTTCAGCTAATGAAACACCAGTATGGGGAGGAGGCATGAGAGTAAAGCAAGAACTTTTTTTTGCAAACACCAATTTTGATCAACAAAGTGAGCAGTTAATGAAATATACCCATCTGTGGTCACAGAAGTCCAACAATCAGAAGTTAATGCTACTCTACCAGGAATAGATTGCAAAACATCACAAAGCTTATTTTTTTCAACCAAATACATGTTTTTTATCTCACTTTTTACGGTGTTTCTACAAAAGGTTTTCACTTCCGGGTTCAAGTAAGAAAAACAGTTCCTAATACCTTCATATTCAACAAATTGAAGAGGAAGATTGTGTCTAGCAACTGCAATTGCAACTAATTCACGAAATTCATCATGCTTATACATGACAGATCGAGTTCCCAATGAACAATTCATGTTAGTTTTTATCAAAAGTTGACCAACATCAGCATAATTGTGTGTGTTACAGGTCCTAGCATGTCTAAGCATATTCCCTATCCCATAACTACTTTCAGCAATATATTTAGTCCCACATTTCTTGCATTTAGACTGAATATTTCCATTTTCATCTAATTCATCAATCATTTCAAAATGTTTCCAAACAGGGGAAGTTAGCTTACGTTGGCGTTTCACAGGGTTACTAGATAAGTTTGGTTTCAGTTTCTTTGCTTTCACCTTAGTAGCTTTAGAAGCTTTAGAACCCGATGGAACTTCTTCTTTATTTGGAACGCTTCCAACCTCCTCTTCATCTTCATAACCAGACAAGTTAATAGCTTCATCCATTGTAGTTAGCTGTAATAAAGACAAAGAACAGAAAAAGGGTGATCATCGGGTATAGTTTGGTACTTGGCTGTAAGTTTTAATAAAGATAAAGAACAAATTTGAACCTACCTGAGAGCTGAGATGGGGCGACAAAGTTGTGAAGGACAGCTGGAGAGGCTGAGATACGCCTGGTTAAGGAGAGGCTAGGAGGGGTGAAGTCGTGATTCCTGAACAATGAACGAAACAGAAGAAGTCATGTAATCGACTAATCGTGTTGCTGAAATCTGAATGGCGAATGTTGTTTGTTGAAGTCGAAGGTCGGAACTCGGAACTTTGATTCTTTGAACGACACAAACAGAAGGAGAGATCGAGGGAGGCGGAGCAGATAGGATAGAGTATACGAGACTTGTGAAATGTGAATATAAAATTAGATTAGGTTTTTTGAACCATCTTGTAAATCCTAAACCCTAATGGACCCGTCAGTTGGTTTTTAGCAGCCCAAATAATCAAATATTAACAAGCCCATAATTGTTTTTATTATAATTTTAACCATATATAATATATTTATAATATATAAAAATTTTAAAATATTATATATAATTAAACGGGTCATCATCGAGTCATCTTCGTGTTGAAAATCTTGACCATAACCCTACCCGTTTATTTTTCGTGTCGTGTCGTGTCAACCCGTGTACATAAACGGGTTGAAATCTCTGACCCTAACCCGCTAACTTCGTGTCGGGTTCGTGCCGGGTTATCGTGTCGTGCCAACTTTTGCCAGGTCTAATCCCGGGCTCTTCCATTTCGAACCAAAAGTACCTGAAACATAAACTGAAAACCGTAAGCACAAAGCTTAGTGACTTCCCCAAAATACCACATACCATACATAATAAACACATAATGGGCCACACCTGTCATCGGGCCCCACCCGTTATACATATAAACATATAATCATACAACCCATGCAATAATCACAAAGATAATAGAATACAGAATAGTCATCGGGCCCCGCCCGACATTGGTCCTTGCCTGGTAAACATACAATCACATAACACATGCAAGAGTCACACATACATCTAGCACCCTAACATAATAAATGATGGGTCAATATTGGTGCCTTCGACCCACTAAACACAGTGAGGAAACTCACCTCTAGCTGTTGAATCACACAACTGAATCTCTGACTGCTGGCCCGGAAAATCCCCGCGCTATCAAAATCAATAACATCCAATTAATAATTGGATTCTGACCCATAACCAAAAGCCTAAGCTATTTTGGCCCAATTTACCCTTTTATCTAACTTGGCCCAAAGCCAAGGCCCAACTCAGCTAATCAAAAGCCCAAATCCGAAAGCCCAATTTATGTCCCAATCTTCCAAATTGGGCCGAACGCCCATCATGGGCCTAAAGTGCAAAAAAGCCCAACATGCTATCCCTAAGCCCAAAACAGAGGTCTAATGGCCCAACTGGGCCCAAACTTTCAAATCCACATAATGGCCCAATACCAAAAATGGCCAAGCCCAAAACGCCCCCTGTTGAGTACGCGGGGCGTACTCAACTCGTACGCCCAACGTACTCCCATGTCCACATGTCTTCTTCATTAAGCACTTAAATAGTTAAGCCCTTCCTCCAAACTCTCAGATTTGGTTCCTAAAGGTGACTTATCATGTAAAGTTGGCAACTTTACATACATATGGCTCAATAGGGCTCCAGAGCTCAAAAAGTGCTTAACAAAGGTCTTAATACATGCATGGGTCAAAATACTCCATAAAGTTGACATTTCTATGAACATAGGGACTAAATGGAGCTAAGATCTAGCATCCATTGCTTCTAGAGTAGATCAAAAGCTCACCTTTAACATAAAAGACTCAAAAGTGCACAAAATACCCCCATTAAACTAGATCTAACATATATGATCATCAAGTTATGAGCTTTTTACCTCAAAAAGATTGAAAATGAGAAGGTAGTCCTGGATCTTCAAGCTCAATCCACTCCTCCAAGTGTTCAACTTCTTCTTCTTCTTCACCACAAAACACCAACAAATCACTCTTAAGCTCAAGAACCCACAAAATACTATTAGGGTTTCGAGATAAAGGAAAAGGGAGTGAAGGCTTGTCTAAAATGTCCAATAGATGAGTTTAAGACGTTTAAATAGGGCACAAACCCTAAAAAGTAGGGTTTGTCCCAGCCTTGCGTACGCCATGCGTACTCCACGTACCCACTACGTACGTGGGTGGAACCCGTGATCATCAGGATGACTAGTACGCTAAGCGTACTCATTGAGTACGCCCCATGTACAATCCAAGGGACCAAAATGTCAATAATTTAGGAAAAAGGGCTAGAAAAGAAAATTACCAAAACTTGGATGTTACACAAAGTCAAGTTGGATCCTAACATCAAAAGCCCTAAAAATGGTATCGGTAGGAAAAGTTCCAGCCGACTTCAGCACCTCGATGTCATCGTCGTTGAAGGTACAAGTTTCCTCGTAAGATAAAATTTTCTGGTCCTTGAAATCATCATCAGGAATAACGATGATGCTGGAGCGGGAACCAATAGATTTTTTTGCCATGACTAAAGACAAGAAGGAAAAAAGGGAACAAGATTATTACCTTCGATGGTATACAACTGACGACGGAAGGAAAGCTAGAAGAATAAGATAAAACTAAGGAGTTGGACGTCCTATTTATACAGGAATCACAGAGAAGTAGAAGGGTGATTCGACCTATTCCAACAGCTAGAAATTTATCCGTTGAAATTTAAATTACACTATCTGTTAAACTTCAAAATTTCATCTCTTTTTTATTTTGTTTTAAATTATACATTTAAATATTAGATAACTAACCTCAATATTTCACATGAATAATTTTGGGGCAATTGTTAGGGGCAGGATCCCAGAATCATATTCAGGATCCTTAATATTTCTGAAACCTCAGGATCCTTAAACATATTTCAGGATCCTGATTATTACTACTAATATTTCTTAACAGTTATAACGCCTATACTTTTCTTTATTTTTCTCACAAGTACATAACTAGTCAATAGAAGACCCATTCTCAATGTAGAGTCATCTCAACCAGGCAAAAGACTTGAAATACTAAGTCAAATAACGTTCATACGCTGATTCCCGGAGGATCCCAGAATTATCAGATTTCTTGTTACTTACACTAGACTATAAATAACGCATGTATCTAGCGCACTATATACACGATTGGCCCTAACATTACTCTTGTACTCGTATTACTTTCATAATCTTTGTAATCCCAAATTAAAATCAATAAAACACATCAATGGAGATGATTATTTTCACCTTCCAAGGTTTTATGTCGGAGAACCTACAAAGGATCAAGGGTTTTCCATGTAACTCATTTGTCTCACTTTGATTACCATTTGATACTTATATTACACTAACACCACAATCTCTCATATAATTTGGTTGAATTACACTTGATCAGTTTATGACCAAATAAATATATTTTGAACTATTCCGAATTTGAAATTAAACATTACACCATCAAGTTTGTTATTCTTGGGCTCGTTACCGGTCCTAATCATTAGTCTTGGAAAAAATACAATAATTAAAACCTAAATTTGAGAAACAAATAGGTTTAGAAATTCGGTATCTAATTGCTATTTTAAGAAATAAGAAAAATTGATGCAAAATAGAATCTTAAAAAGAAAAGTGATGAAATATGGAATGTTAAAATAATCATGGGGAAGGGTGTGTGGGCACGAAAATCGCATCAGGTGTCTGGATTTACCATTTACGTTAGCCTAGCAACGTCACCTTCTCATTCACATGCATGTCACATGGTGCAAGTGTCTGAATCGTATTTCTATATAACTATTTTCACTAGATCTTTATTAGTTTGGTTTTTTAATATATGAAGCTTGTAGGTGTTAGAAAAATAATACTAAAGTGACATGAGACGACGTTAGCTAGTGTTTTTAACTTCTAGTTAAGATTAAACATCAAACCAATAACAAAATTAAAATATGCGGACTTTTGACTTGCTTTTGTAAACATGTTTCAAATGTAAAAATAGAAAAAGCCAATTAGGGGTTTGGGCGACAATATAATTGGATGAAAGACGCAGTCAACAAAAGCCTCTCTCGGTCTTTCTCCTACTTCCCCACTGGAATTCCGATATATGACCAAAGACTTCGACTTTCTTAATTTCAGAATTTAACTCGTCTTCTTTGGTCAACTTCCCCTCCCTATATTTCCCCCAAACCTTTCTTCATTCATGTTAAACTACAAATCTCTCTCTCTCTCTCTCTCTCTCTCTCTCTCTCTCTCTCTCTCTCTCTCTCTCAAAAAAAAAAAAAAAAAAAGTTGACCTGCTCATATATGATTTAAGGTGAAAAGCCACCATGGATCACAAACGAGTTGTTTATGAGTTGACTCAAGGTAAGGAATTTGCGGAGCAACTCAAGATTCATCTGAATAACCCTTCGTCTTCCCAAGAAACCCAAGAAATCTTGATCCATAACATCCTCAATTCCTATGAAAATTCGCTATCTTTACTCACCAATCATGTACTTACTACAAATGGGAGCAATGATGAGCCACATTTTCATGGTAAAAAGGGAATCATCAGAAAAATGGAATCGCAAGCTCCATTCAGTGAAAGCCCATGTAGCGAAGATTCAGACCCTGAGTTTAAAGATCTTGATCCCAATGATTTTGGGGCCAAGAGGTAAGTCCAATGTCACTATACGTAAATGCATGAACATGTCATTACACATTTGATAGATCTAATTAGTAATTAGAGATTGAATTGATTTGAGGTATATATATGTATAGGAAGAGAAATGGGAGTATCGAAAAGTGGAAGAAACAAGTGAAAGTGAGGGGAGACATGGAGTTTGAAGAAGCTCTTGATGATGGGTATAGTTGGAAGAAGTATGGCCAAAAAGACATTCTTGGTGCCAAGCATCCCAGGTATGATATATACAGATCGACTTCACGTACTTGTTTGTTGGTTTAAGAACCAAGTAAAAAGAGCCATCATTGTCCAATGTTCCAAACTTCCAATGCATTCATTACTAATTAAGAGGTATAGTCGTGCTCACAAACTGAATAATGAATATGTAACTGGAAACTAATCATCTATTATATTTGTTAATTAAAACAGTATAGATAAGAATCACTAGAATATGTCATCATACTAATAATTTCCTTATTAAAAGTACTAAAAATGGTTATAACTTATAATCACTTTTTACGACATTCTTCGGTGCTTATTCAAACCAAAATTTTGATGATTAAAAAACTAATTGAATCGTAATTTGAAATATAAATTGCCATTTGTATATAATTATCTTGACACGAAACAATCAACATATATGTTGCGAGATGTGTGGGCCCAAGTCGTGTATGAATTGTGCCCAACATGGTGGATTAGAAATGGGGTTTTGATATTTATTTTGCATAAATCTTATCATGTGTGTTTTTTAGAAGAGAAATTAAATATCCTCCTACTTTTTGTTCCTATATATTCTCCTACCCAATGAAATGGTGATATGTGAAACATTTAATGCTCATTTAATGAGATTTAATGATATTTTAGGATACTAATATGACACATGTCATCATTTAAATGGATATGAGGATTAGTAGGATTAAAAGGTAGGAGGATATTTAATTTCTCTTTTTATAATAGCGTTTGTTAGAATCGCGTATGCACGTTTACTTACCCTAACGAATCTTTATATTCTTTTAGGAACTGGCAAAATTTTATTAAAAAAGAAGGAAAATGACACATACGCCCTACGAAGTTTCTAGGGTTTACCCTTTTAGTCATTTAACTTTTTAAGTGGCTTTTTAAGAGAACAAAGTTGGTTTTGTCAGGTCCAAGATGTCATTTTTGAGAAAATGAAAGGGTAAACCGGTTACCCTTATGGCAGCTCATTTATTTTTATATTTTAATAAATTAAAAAAATTGAAAGGGCTCACAACATCTGATTATCTCTCTCTCTCTCTCTCTCTCTCACACACACACACACACACACAAAATATCAAAATCCAAATTAAAATAGGAAGCACCAATCAGATATGATAACCACCATCGTCAACACCTACAGCAAATCAAAAGGAAACCAAAACCAAAGTCAAATCTATACTTCAGGTTCTTGATTTATAATGAAAATCCTAGAAAAAAAATCTTAAACAAATCTGAAGAAATATCAATCTATCCATCACACAATATGTTCTGATTTTAAGGAGAAGAAAGATTTTACACATAAGGTTTTAGATGGCCCTTTTTTTTAACAAAAAAAATGGAGCTCTGCGAGTGGGTATTGTAGAGGAAGCCATGGTGAAATTTGAAGATCCCAAATGGGTTTCGTGGACCGGAAGCAGATGAGGTTTATAAAAAAATCGATCTTGGCATATGAGGTTTGACGATATCCTTGCATATGGGTTAAAATCAGATGAACATAAAAGATGATCTTGATATTTAGAGTCTCTATCAACCAAAACGACGATAGACATTGTGAAATCGCATATGGTGAATCCAAAATGATAGGGGTTGAGTTGCAGGTTTCAAAATAGATGAGTGATCTCGGATCTCATCACTGAAAAGAGATGGTTTCCAGATCTGTTTGTGAAAAACAAGAACCATGGTAATCAAATGGTATTTGCTTCTTCTAATCTTGTATAAAGAAAGTGGTTTCCAGATCTGTTCGTCATGAACAAGAACAAGAACCGATGGTCGTTTTTGGAAATCAAGAAGTCGTACCTCCCATTCATTTTCATCTTCAGCGCGATGACTAAGCTTCTGTCCATGGAAGTCACCTTCGGTGCTATGTTCCTCACACACATTTTGTTCCTGTTATTTTTCTTGATTTTGTTCCAGATCTGGGTGTGATTTTCTTCTTCTGATCTTGGATAAAATATAATAATGGCTGGCAGAAGATGTTGGTGGTGAACAAAGGAAGATGCTGGTGGGGATTGGTTTCTGGGTAACAACTATTCAACTGAGAGAAAGAGAAAGAGAGAGAGAGAGAGAGAGAGAGAGAGAGATGGGTGGGCCCCAATTTTTGTTTATGTGTCCTCTAAACCGGATAAAACAAGTAAAGGGGACTAAAAGGACAGGTTGCCCACAACTTGGTTCCCTCATAAAGCCACGAAAAAAGTTAAGTGACTAAAAGGGTAAACACTAGAAACTTAATAGGGCGTATGTGTCATTTTCTCACAAAAAGAAACCCAAACCCAACAAGGAGCTAAGGCAGGGGAAGGAACAAAACTACAATGTCACAAACAAAGGAAACCAGAAATACACCAATACACCAATTAAAAGCACACTAAACACCAACTCAATAATATGATCCACAGTTTTTGTGGCGTAATGATATTCTTTGTTGAAAGTCTTGCTGTTTCTAACCTTCCATATGCACCAGGTCGATCCATACACAATAGTAATGAATAATTTTCCTTTTTTATTCGAACAATGTCCGTTGCCGTAAAATTGATTATATGAAACTGCATATTTGCATATCATGTTAGAAAAGTGTGTGTTTTAACTATATAAGTCAACTCATAAGAAAAAACCACTAATTGTTAAAACTTAAAAGTACTATTTACTGTTCATAAACCAAATTAATAGTTCTATTTACTTTCTTTTTTTTTTTATTTTTTTTATATTAGTATCTGGGATAATATAAGAAGTTGCGTATTGGTAATTTTGTTAATTCATGATACTAAGTTACTACATTGTTTTTTCTTGGTTTTGAATTTAATTTTGCAGAGGTTATTATAGGTGTACATATCGACAACTACAAGGTTGTCTTGCAACTAAACAAGTTCAAAGAACCAACGAAGATCCAAATATTTTTAACATGACCTACCAAGGAACTCATACTTGTCACCCTGCAACTGCAACCGACACATCTCCAACATTACCATTACCATCATCATCATCACCGCCACCAGAGATCCAACATCCACCGCCACAAAACCAACTCCTTGGATCCCCCAAAATTCTTCAAACAGATGGTAAAGCCATAACAAAAAATCTAGAGACCCATTCAGTTCACTTCCCTTCAACATCTAATAATAACTTTGTTTTTCCAACCCTTAATAGCACTTATGATGGTAACGAAACACCTTCCTTGATCACTCCAACAACATTGGGGTCTACCTATTTCATGATGTCACAGCCTCAAGCGAGTATGTGTGAAAAAATCGAGAATATAGTGGGTGTAGAATCAAACGACATTGTTTCTGCTGCTACATCATCTACAAGGTTTTATAATGCTGACTTGCCCTTGCCATTTGGAGAACTCGAATTTGGTAGCACCTTCAATTTTGACAATTCAATATTTTTCGACTAATATAGACATATATAAACCTTCTATTGACAGGAAAAAGGAAACACTTAGAATCATTTTGATAGTCTGAGAAGATAATATATCAACCTTAGAAGATGATAAGAACGACTCTTGTAACTGATATCGTATCGATCTATTGGCTGTAGTATATTTGAGTTATGTATGTTTAGATCAATTTTGATTGTGTGTATCATAAGTTGTAACTCTCAAAGGATTTTCTTATATTATATTATAGTTGAAAACCCTTTAAGTATTCTAAACTAGTTGTGAGACTCATGTATTATATGAGTTAATTTTAAAAAAAAAGTTAAATATAAATGTTAAAATATTTAAGAACTTTGAATTTATAAAAAAAAATAAGAAAAATAATGAGTTACTATAATGAAAATGTTTTTTATCGTTTAAATTATTTAATAAATAAAAGAAACTAATGAGCTTGAAATTTGGGAATTTTGAAATTAAAAGGTAATTCATTAATGAAATTGATATCTATTAATTACTATATATAATTGTAATTATTACATTAAAATATTATGTAAAATTTAATAAAATAGAAAAACTAATAAAATGACATGTGGAAAAAATAATTCCAAATAACCACAAAATGACATTTGACAAATTGAATGAGAGTATGACAAGTGACAAAAAAAACCTTCATTTATTAGAGAGAATTTCTTTCCATAATTTTGTTTTTAAAAATATGTTACGACCATCACAGCCACCGTCGTACATACTATTATATTTTATAAAAAAATATCATACTTCTGTTATATCAATTGTATAAATTTTTATATAGAAAATAATTTATATTTTTTTGAGGTTAGATCAACAATAATTAAGATTTGGTTAGCATAATTAGAATATATACATATTAGAATGAGACATGAGCCTGACTAAACTAGGCTATGCAAATCTATACAAATGGGTGAAGTAATATACAAGTGGGAGGTTGCCTCTTGATGCTTTAATCAGATATGAAATCCATGAATAAAGACGTGGGAAAGCCCTTCGTAAAGATTTCGCTATATTTATGATTGGAAAGCAAATAAAGGATGAAGCTATGTCGATTCTCCGAATTAGCTTTAGAGCTTGAGGTTATTGGTCTTGATAATATTTGTTTATAGCTCTCAAGTTTTGGTCCATTATTAGATTTATGTTGGGGTACGAAGTCTTGTCTAACATTGAGCACTTAGATCACAATTGAGCACTTGGGGTTCGTGGAGCATGTGACAAAGGAATTAATCATCTGAGAAAGGAATGGATCGTCTGACAAAGGAACGGATCAAGTGCCAAAGTATCAGATCATACGAAAAGGGGTTTAAAGCACCTCGAAGAGGTTTGGAGCAACAAAGGGACCTTGTTGTGCCATCTGATAAAGGGATGGGCCAAGAAGGATGATGTTGTGCCATAAGCATTCCTTCTTGCGCCATGCTACTCCCTCTTGCACCATGAGGTATCCCTCTTGCGTCATGAGGTTTCCTGTTGCATCATGGAGTATGTTGTTACGCCAAGTATGTTCTTGTTGCGCCAAGGTGGTGATGTTGATCCAACATAGAATTTATTTGTGCCACACTTGAAGCCTGTTGCGTCATCCTTACACGTGTGCCATCATGTTGCAAGATGGGTCATTTTGGTTCCTTGATGAGTCATGGTGTCCCTGATGAGCCAAGTATTCTATGAAGTCCTCTATGATGCTCAAGATCGTTCAAGGATACTCAGAAGTTAGTATTGCTCAAGGATTACACCATGTTGTGCCACCATGATAGATGTTGGACCATTAATGTTCATGATGCTCCACTATGTTCAAGGTGGTCCATTATGTGTGTTGCTGATGCTCATGAGTTGTATGACATGGACGAATGTTCCAGAAGATGCTGCATGGCAAAATATGATTGGTTGTCACCATTCATGGGCCTATAGGCCAATGGGCTTGGACCATTAGGGTTTTAAGTCTGATCCCTCAAGTATAAATAGGCACATACTCCCCATCATTGAAAATTGCTAGATTTTTGTAAGAGCTCAAAAAGAGATACAATTTTGAGTGCTTATAATAGTTCTAGAAAGTTAATTAAATCCTCTCTCTCGGTCTCTCTCTCTCTCTCTCGTTTCGCCCGTGGACGTAGGTCATCTTGACCGAACCACATTAAATACCGTGTTCTTTTGATTTATGTTTTTAGAAGTTTTGTGAGTTCACCAAAGTTTGTTTTTGATATTTTTCTGAAGTGCTTAACTTGTTTTGTTGTCACCCAACAAACTGGTATCAAAGCTATGGCTGAATACAGGATAGTTAAGATCGACAAGTACAATGGAAAAGATTTCGGTTTCTGGAAGATGTAAATTGAAGACTACCTCTACCAAAAGAATTTACATGAACCTTTGTCAGAAGATAATCCGTTCCTTATGAAGCAGGAGGATTGGGAGTTGTTAGATCAGCATGCATTTGGTGTGGTTCGTTTATCATTGGCAAAGAACGTTGCTTACAACATTGTCAATGAGAAGACAACTTATGGGTTGATAAAGGCGTTATCTAACATGTATTAGAAACCTTCATCAACGAATAAGGTTCACTTGATCCGATAATTGGTAAATCTGAAGATGAAGGAAGGTGGCTCAGTGACTGGTCATGTCAATGAATTTAATTCAATCATGTCAAGGTTGACATCAGTTGAGATTAAATTTGAAGATGAAGTCCAAGCACTGCTACTATTATCATCATTACTGAAATTTGGTCAGGAATAGTGACAACAGTCAACAAATCAGTAGAGGTGCCAAGCTGACATTCGAAGGCATAAGCGACTTAATCCTTGGTGAGGATGTACGCAGACGAAGTGCTGGAGAATCCTCTAACAATCTTCTTAGTATTGAGGATAGAGGAAGGAGTTCCAACAGAGGGAGTGGGGGTAAAGGAAGATCAAAGTTGAGGAAGAGAGGTGTATCGAAAACCATGAAGGACATCACCTGTTGGAACTGCAAAGAAAATAGCCATTTCAAGAATCAATGTCTGAAGCCACTTGCAAAACAAAGGCAAGAATGAGATGAACATTGCATCAGACTCTGAAGGAGATGCTCTTATCTATGCAATTGAAAAATCAATTGAATCTTGGATCATGGATTCTGGTGCGTCATTCAAAAGATGTAATGCATAATTTCAGGCAGTACCAAGTGAAGGTTAGACTAGCAGACAACAAGAGCCTTGATATTACAGGTATTGGGTATGTAGTCCTCGAGACTACTTTAGGTACGAAGTGGACTTTGAAGAATGTCAAGTGCATTCCAAACTTGAAAATAATGTTGATATCAGTGGGGAAACTTGATGATGAAGGTCACCATGTAACTTTTGGTGATCATCAGTAGAAAAGGTGACAAAGGGAAACTTGGTGGTTGCTAGAGGTCAGAAGCGGCGTACACTTTACATTGTGGAAGTTTCTGATCATTAAGCACATATTGTTGAAGAAGTTGGGGAATACACTCTATGGTACCAAAGACTTGGACATATGAGTGAAAAAGGAATGAAGATGCTTGCCTCCAAAGGAAGAATTCTAGATCTGAAGAATGTGACAGTAGATTTCTATGAGCCATGTGTTCTTGGTAAACAGAAGAAAGTTACTTTCGCGAAGATAGGATATCCACGCAAGACAGGGAAGTTGGAGCTTGTTCTTTCATATGTTTATGGTCCCACTTCAGTTGCTTCAGTGGGAGGATCCCGGTATTATGTTACTTTCATCGATGATTGCAAATAGAAAATTTTGGTTCTATTTCTTGAAGCAGAAGTCTGAAGTTTTCAGTGCTTGCAAGAAATGGAAAGCGATGGTGGAAAATGAAACTAACTTGAAAATCAACTGTTACAGAACTAATAATGGGGGCAAATACAGTAGCAAATAATTCGTTGATTTATGTGCTGAACATGGAATCAGGATGCATAAGACCGTTCAAGATGCATGCAGGGCGAAGAGAATGAGACTACATGCAGGTTTGCCCAAGATGTTTTTTGGGCAGATATGGTCAACACGACTGCATACCTAATCAATAGAGGTCCCTCAGCTCCCATAGGGTTTAAGATTCCGGAGGAAGAATGGAAAATTCGTGAGGTTTCATTCAAACACGTGAAGGTGTTCAGTTGTGTATCATATGGAAAAGTCAAATACTTTGAGAGAGGCAAGCTAGAGGCAAAGTCAAGAAAGTGAACCTTTATAGGCTATGGGTTGGACGAAATGGGATACCGCTTCTGAGATAACGAGCACAAAAAGGTTATCAGAAGTCGGGATGTGGTGTTCAATGAGAATGTGTTATACAAGGATGAACTTGCTAGGGGATAAAGTAGTAACAAACAACCAGAAAAGGAACAACAAGTTGAGTTAGAAGAAACTTCAGAAGACGACATTATAAAACCTTTCACTACTCCCGAGATAGGTGAAAGTTCAGGAAGCAGTGGGAGCTCTGATGAAACTGGAGAGAGTGGGGAGCATGGATGATAGTAGTTTAGAGAATGAAGGTGTAGAAACTGAGACTCATACTGTCCGTAGATCCACTAGAGTATGAAGGCCTCTAGTAAGGTATTCTCCTTCAGCAAACTTCTTGTTGTTGACAGATAATGGTCAACCTGAGTCTTATCCAGAATCGTTGAGGATGAAAGAATCCATACGGTGGAAGAAGGCTATGGAAGAAGAATTGAGCTCACTTCACAAGAATCACACTTGGTCCTTGGTCAAGCTCCCAACAGGGAAGAAAGCACTACAAAACAAGTGGGTGTTTCAGGTTAAGGATGAGATTGATGGCACCAAGAGA